TTCCCAGCCAGTCGCTGCACCTGGTGGGCTCCAGGCAGGGGCTCGGGCATCCCGCTGGCTCTGGCACCCAGCCCCAGACTGATGGGGTCCCTGTGGGGTTTGCCCAGAGTGGGGACATCCTCTGCCTGGGGCAGCAGCTTCTGTGCAGCCCCAGAGAGGGGTGTTTTGGGAAGAGGCCTGCCCAGGGTGTCCTGACCCCCTTGCTGCTTCAGTGGTGCAATCCTAGGGTGGCCTCGTGCTGCTCTGATCCATGCTGGGTAGCTCCTGGAGCATCCTGCCTCCACCCCGCGGTCCCCTCTGCAGGGCAAAAGGGGAGGCGTCTGGTAAGGGGGGAACAGTCGCTGCAGCATTTCCAGCTCCAAACAGGGGTGCTCAGCTCCTGGAGGTGAGGACAGCCTGCACGTGGTCCCCCCAGCACTGAGAGCAGGCGTTGCGGGTCCTATGCAGCGATGGGCTCCCTGACCCCCGGCAGGGAGAAGGGTGGGCTCCGAAAAAAGCACTGTGGGTCGGTGGGTGGGGAAATGGCAGCAGCCGTGACGTGCCAGCACGCTCTGCTCCAGCGAGAGCTGGGCCCTGTGGCAGGAGGTGTCCGGCAGCGCTCCCAGCCCCTCTCCCTCTGCTCCCCAGGCCGTAACCTGAGCAGGGGCTCCGCTGCCCGCCGGAGAGGAGCCAGCCCTGGCCAGGCCGGAGAGCGAGGCGCGGGGCTTTTATTACCCCGGGTGACCTCATTTCCCAACGTTCCCCTTTTCTTGCTGTTAATTGCAGCAGGGCTGTGAAGGAACCCTGGGCCCGTCTTCTCAGCCAAATGGGCACAGCTTCAACCTTCGGGCTGCCTTTCCGATTTCCTTTAATGAGATGAAATCCTTCAGGCATGAGCTGCGGCAGCTGGTGGCTGCCTCAGTGCGGAGTTCCCGGTCCCAGTCCTGCTGGGAAGGTGCCTTCAGCCTCTCTGCTCTACTAAAGCTCAGGGCATGTTGCACGCTCTCTGCAGACCAGTTGCTGGCACCAGTCCCTGACGTGCAAAGGGGTGTTTGGCGGGTCCCCCACTCTGCCTGCATGTCCTGCATCCCCCAGCCTCTGCCTTATTGTGCACCTAGTCCTGGGTTTGCAGAGTGACACCGAGGTCAGGCAGAGGCAACGCTGGTCTGCCACCCCCGCTGTCTCCTGGAGGGTTCCCCACCGCAGAAGGGACTGAGGGTGACCCTGAGAAAGGAGGGAGGACGCAGCGTCCTACCCAACACTTGGCTGGCCAGTCTGACCTGCCCTGTCCTCCAAAACGCAGCTCCCCTGGCCCATCTCATAACAACCTCCTGCGTCTCTTCCAGGGCAAATACGAAGAAAGATTCCTGAAAGATGAAACCATCTCCCAGCAGATCAACTCCGTCGAGTCCCTCCCAGAGCTGCACCTCTCTCTGGAGGACGAGAAGCCCAAGCAGCTTTTGCAGAGGAAGCTGCATGTGAGGAGCCGGCCTCCTTCCAAGCCCACCATTGTCCGAGGTGTCACCTACTACAAAGCCCAGTCCACTGAGTCAGAGAACGACATCGAGGAGCAACGTGAGTTGGGCTTGCAGCTGTACCTGGCAGGATGGCTGGCTGCATCCTGTAGCAAAGCCAGCATCTGCCCCCGAGTCCTGCCTTGCCCCAGGAACATGTGGGCAAAGCGTGTAGGGTCACCATGGAGAGGAGGGCTTGGAGGCAGGAAAAGGTGGGACGAAAGGTACCTCACCACTGGAAGCAGTGAGGTGGCATCCAGCCTTTGAGCCCTGCTTGAGGGAGCAGTGCATTGTTGTTATTCCATGGAAAATCCCTGGTAGCTAAGGAAATAGGTCATGCTTCAGTTTAAAACACCCAGCATCAACACCCACCTTTCCAAAAGTGAATGCAGGATTATGTTAGTCCTGCAGGTCCACCTGCTCGATGGCACCCCAGGAGGTTTCTGCAGTGCTGGGGCAGTGGGAGGTGACTCAGAACCACCGCTGGCTGCCCTACAGCTCAGCAGGGTGCTGTGCGTGGCTGTGGCCATGCTGAGGGCAGAGGGCGAGCCCCTGGGGCCTGGCAGTGCCTGGCAGCACGGGCAAACGAGGCAAGTGCCCTTTGTGCCAAGGTGGGTTAGCAGTGAGGGTGGCCATCACAGCCGTGTGTGGGTTCGTCAGATCCCTGAGATGAGAAGGAGCAAAGGCCACCCACGGTGGCCGGGGAGCCCGCACTGTCCCAGCGCCCCGGGTGAGGGACCCGCTTTGGCAGCTGGGGTTAGGTGGGTGGGATCTGGCTGGGCACTGCAGTTGGATCTCTATCCTGCCCCATCGCTGGGTGCTGGCAGGGCTGAACTGCTGTCACCTCCTCTTCTGCCTGGCCTGCGGTGGTGGATTTGGCTGGGATGGGGTCTTGCTGACCTCCTAACGTGGGAGTCGTCAGCCCCCGCAATTCATGCAGCCCTTCTCTGGCTGGAAATTAATAGGGAAACCAGGTGGATTTAGTAGAAGACAGCCTGGAAAGTGGGCAGAGGAGCCAGAGGGGTGGGGCGAGTGCAGAGGGGCCGTGGGGGACCTGCTCCCACTCGCTGTGGGGCTGACGCCTATGCCTGTGTTTCGCAGCGGACGAGCTGTTCAGCGGGGACAACACAGTGGACCTGCTGATTGAAGACCAGCTCCTGAGGCCCAGAAGCAGGGTGGGCGAGGGCGGGAGGAAGCCCTCCCCGGTGGGATGGCCACCCACCCCTGGCAGCGACCCCACCACCCCCCCGGCCGCTGACACTGCCGCCACAGCCACAGTGCCCCTGTCCCCTGCTACCCCCACGGGGCCCACACCGGACCCCACTGCTGTGAGCCGGCTGACCCCCACCCCGGAGACCACGACTGCCCCAGCAGGGCTGGCAGAGGAGGGGACCCCGCAGCTACCAGCAGCCTCGGCCAGCACGGCAGTGGCCACAGCCACAGAGAGCCTGCCCGCAGCCACCAGCTCTGTCCCCAGCCTTGGCGTAGCCACCACTGCTGGGACCTTGAGGGGTGTGGGGACAAGCCCTGCCCCAGAGAGCAGCCCAGAAGCTTGGGGACAGGCAAGCACCCCTGTAATGCCAGTCAGCCCCACCATCCCCGCCACCCCGAAGCAGGCTCTGGAGGAGGAGGACATCAGGAACATCATTGGTGAGTGCCAGCAGGTCCTGCACCGATCCAGCTGTGAGCATGGGGGCTGGCTCGTGCCCACAGCATGTCCTGCTAAGCACAGCACACCTGGATTTGGTTGCACCAGGGCAGGTCTAGACTGGGTGTTAGGAAAAATGTCTTTACTGAAAGAGTGGTCAAATGTTGGAACAGGCTGCCCAGGGAAGGGGTGGAGTCACCGTCCTTGGAGGTGTTCAAAAAATGTGAAGATGTAGCACGTGGGACATGGTTTAGTGGGCATGGTGGTGTTGGGTTGACAGTTGGATTAAATGATCTCAAAGGTCTCTTCCAATGTAATGATTCTATGATTTGGTCATGGGTGGGAGGTGTCATGGAGATGGTGGCTGGACACTACCGTACTGGGTCGCCAGGTTTACTTGCTTGTTAACTCTGGAACCTACTGTAGTGCCCTCCCAGTTTGAGGGGCTGGGCAGGACAGAAGGAGACCCCCATGGAGATGGACCCAAGACAGGCAGCAGCCTCACCTTGGGCAGGGACACGGTTCAGGCTGTGGGGAGCTGTTTGCCAAATCTGGCCAGTGCTGCTGGGCCTCGTGAGGCTAAGCCTAGGCTGAGGCAGCAGGGGTGCCTGCTGGGTGGGCAAGGGGCTGGAGGGGGGAGTGGTGCCCACAGATCCCCAGCAGGAGCAAGGAGAGTGTGGTCACCCTGCCTCGGGCCTCACGAGCCTTTCTCTGCCTGCGCAGGGCGCTGCAAGGACACACTGTCCACCATCTCGGGGCCCACCACCCAGAACACCTATGGGCGCAACGAGGGGGCCTGGATGAAGGACCCCCTGGCCCAGGAGGAGCGGATCTATGTCACCAACTACTACTATGGGAACACGCTGGTGGAGTTCAGGAACCTCGACAACTTCAAGCAAGGTGGGCTTGCGCCATCCTCGATGCTGCGCTGGCCGCCGCTCGGCTGGTCCAAGTAGCATCTCTGTTCCTGGGATGCTGCACCGGGGCGGGGGATGCTCTGCCCAGAGACCCTCCCCTCTTGGGCGCTGGTACCCAGCGTGTGGGGTCAGAACATGGGGAAGGTCAGGCTGCCTGTGGTGGCACTGGACTTGCTTGTCACCACACCAGGCTGTGGCTGGGAAGGGAGCACAGGCACGGCCGAGAGCAGAGGGTGCTGGTGGTGGGGCCACCAACACCAAAGCAAAGGGAGGGTCTCGCCAGCATGTGTCTCTGCCCTGCAGGTCGCTGGAGCAACTCCTACAAGCTCCCATACAGCTGGATTGGGACAGGGCACGTTGTCTACAATGGCTCCTTCTACTACAACCGGGCCTTCACACGCAACATCATCAAATACGACCTGAAGCAGCGGTACGTGGCTGCCTGGGCCATGCTGCACGACGTGGCCTATGAGGAGTCCACTCCGTGGCGGTGGCGAGGCCACTCGGACGTAGACTTCGCTGTGGATGAGAACGGCCTGTGGGTCATCTACCCGGCCATCAGCTACGAGGGCTTCAACCAGGAGGTGATTGTGCTGAGCAAGCTGAACGCGGCCGACCTCAGCACCCAGAAGGAGACCACGTGGCGGACGGGGCTCCGGAAGAACTTCTACGGGAACTGCTTTGTCATCTGTGGGGTCCTGTACGCGGTTGACAGCTACAACAAGAGGAACGCCAACATCTCCTACGCCTTTGACACGCACACCAACACGCAGATCATCCCCCGTCTGCTCTTTGAGAACGAGTATGCCTACACCACGCAGATAGACTATAACCCCAAGGACCGCCTGCTCTATGCCTGGGACAATGGGCACCAAGTCACTTACCACGTCATCTTTGCCTACTGAGACCCCCCCGCCACAGTGGGGCACTGCGAGCCAGGGGCCATGAGCACCTTTTATTATTATTTTTATTGTTATTATTGTTATTTTGTACAAATTGAAGAGTAAATGATGGGTTTTGTTTCAAGCTGGTTTTTTATGGTGGATTGTAGATCGATCCCCACGCCAGAACCACCCCCTTCATCTTTGCTGTAACCTTGCTTCTGATTTTCCTTCCTGTGGGGAGGAGATACTCCTTTGGGAGGGAAGACCCAGCCCTCCTGCCCAGGGACGAGGAGGTGGCCCAGGTGTGGTCATCCTGATGAGGTTTTTAGCTAAAGATGGTCAGCAAGAGACCCACAACCAGTGCAAAGCTGGCCTTTCTGCTGCAGGCACCAGGTCCCAGTGGGATGCTGATGGCTGCCTGTCCTGGTGGAGGATATACGTGTCCCGTGGGAATGCCCCGTCTCTCAGGACCATCTTCCCAGCTGATGGCCAGCAGGCCCTTTGGAGATCCTGCTGTACGATGGGGCTGTGAGCACAGCTCTGGCAGCCCCTGGTGCTCGCACTTATGTCAAGGACTGTCCCCTCCGGCCGGGGCTCTGCCCTTTTCAACCTACTCTGGCGGGCTGGGCACACTCTGAGCCCTGACTCAAGGCTGGAGCGAGCTGGTGCCAGGAGGGGGACACTGTAAATAGGTGTAGATGGCTTTCGTTTGTTCATTTTTTAACCCCAAATAGTCCCCTTTTTGGCATTTGCTGGGTGAAGGCTCTGCTCAGCCGGGTGCTGGGCTGCCTGGGTGGGGAGCCCTCAGGGCTGGGGGAGCCCTCGGGACTGGGGGAGGCCTTGCTCCCCATCGCGCTGCTCCTCCTCCTCCTGCAGGGTGTCAGCCCGTGTGCCCTCTCATGGCCGCGCTCGCCCTGGTCCTGGCTGTTGGCCACCGGGAGCCCCTGGCAGAGGCGCAGCCCCTGCCCTTCTGCCCAGCAGCATCTTGTATTTACCTGCCGTCAATAAAAGATCAAGTACCTTCGCAGGTGTTCAGGGCTTTCTTTGGTTCTGGTTCACCCTCTGGGTGTGTGGAAATGCACGGGGGGTTTTTTGGGTCAGTTTTGGTTGGTTTGGGGAGTGCCAGTTTACATACCAAGTGGCAGCAAGGCATGCTGGCTGGAGGGGACTTCTTGCAGGGGCTCCAGGCCACCTGCGCCTGGCTTGCCCACATCCAGCCCTGAGACGAGCTTGGCTCTGTCATGTCTGCAGTTGCCCTCAGGTCACCAGGGACTGCAGTGAGGACCCCTCACGGCCTCTTCCCCAGGCTCTGGGTGCGCAGCTCCTGCGGGTTTGCCCCCCCCCAGGAGCAGGAAGGGGGTGTCTGGGTGCATGTGCCTTGGGCAGTGCCAACGCTGTGCCAAGCAGAGCCACACCGCTGCCCAAGCGACAGCAGTGGTGGCGCCTGCCTTCTAGTCATTTCAGTAAAACGCTATTAGCAAGCAAAATAATAATAAATAAAAGAACCATTTTATTGCCTTCAGTGCTAGGAACACAGAGAATAGAACTACATGGGATGAGAGATGCTCGCCACCACAGGAGCCCACGGGTGCTGGCTGAGGATGCGGTGCCGCAGCAGCCCCCCCAGCCCCCAGCAACCCTCTTTCCAACGTGCTGGGCCGTGCCAAGCTCAGCCACCACCGCCAGGTCCCTTCCACGGCTCCCTGACAGCAAATGCACCCTCCAGAGCAGCCAGCTGCCCCTACCCAGGGCGGCGGGGGAGCTGCGTGCCTCTGGCTGGGGCACCGCTGGGGTTCTTATTTTTGACTATTGTGTGAGCTGGCCCACAGTCAGGTGGGGCCGGGGCCAGGAAAACGAACTGGTGGAAGGAGCGCAGCCAAACCCCTCGCCGAGCCCGGCTGCTTCCCAGCAGTGCAAGCACCGAGGGGACGGGGGGCCTGTGCAGCTTGCGCTGACTACGTGGCAAAGGGCAAAGCTTTTCCATAGTGTTGCAAGGCACATACTTTACAGGGGTGTATTGCTCCTCACCCTCCTCCTTGCCTCCCCCAAGCTGTTCGTCTTGCTGCAGGATCAACCTTTATTTCCTAACAGCCACACACACAAATAATAATAATAATAATAACATTAATTAAAAAAACCCACATCAGCCAG